CACACATGGTGACATAATCCAGAAACCAACCCAGCTATGGAAGTATCCAAAGTAAATAAGCCTGCAAGATTGTAAACAGGGAACTAGAGACATATTGATAAATGAAGACAACTACAAAAGAAAAAGGGAAAAAATTGTATAGTTAAAGAACTTCTAAATGGTAGAGAAATCAAGACAACTACAAGATAGAACAGACTGTTCTAAACTTGAGGACAAAACTATAAATCACAGGGTAACCTCAAAGAAAAATAATAAACCTTCACATCAAAATAAAAACAAGGACCAGCACAAATATTTAGCAAATAACTGAAACAATAGCAAGGAGCTCTGGTAGCATAGTGTCTAAGGCACTTGTTGCTAGCCAGAAGGCTGGCAGTTCAAACCCACCAGCCACACCATGGAAAGAAGGTTGGGCAATCTACTTCGATAGTGATACTGCCTCCAAAACCCAAGGAGGGGTCGCTATGAATCAGGTCTGACTTGACAGCACATAACAACAATAACAACAAAACAATAGCAATGAAGAAAGTGATAACACAATTCATAAACAAAAAAAGCTCAGCACAGAAAATTATATGGAACAAAGAAATCAGCACCACAAAAAAAAGCACATAACAAAATGACAGCAACAAATTCATACTTGTCAATAATTACATATCTGGCCGGGGACTTATCTCTAAGATTTATAGAAAACTCCAACACCTCAACACCAAAGGAATTCAACAATCCAATTAAAAAATGGGCAGAAGACATGAATAGACACTTCATCAAGGAAGATATTCAGGTAGTTAGCAAATACATGAAGAGATGCTCACAATCATTGGCCGTAAGAAAGATGCAAGTCAAAACAACAAGATACCATATCATCCCAGCACTGATGGCAAGGTTCAACGAGACAGAAAATAACAAATGCTGGCAGGGATGTGGAGAGATTGGGACTCTCATGCACTGATGGTGGGACTGTGCTGTGATATAACCACTGTGGAAAGCAATATGGTGATTCCTTAGAAAGCTGGAATTGGAGATACAATTTGACCCAGCAATCCCATTGCTAAGTATATATCCTAGAGAGGTGAGAGCCAGGACAGGAACAGATATATGCACACCCATGTTCATCGCAGCACTATTTACAATAACAAAAATATGGAAACAACATATGTGCCCATCAATGGAAGAGTGAATGACCAAACTATGGTACATACACACAATGGAATGCTATGCAGCACTAAAGAATAATGTAGAGTCTGCAAAACACCACATAACATGGATGAACTTGCACATTATGCTGAGTGAAATAAGTCAATCACAGAAGGACAAATATAGTACTTGTTGTAGTGGAGAGTTAAGGAAAGGTTTATATATGGAGGGAAACTTTCTTTGTTGGTTGCCAGGGGTGGGAGGGGTGGGGAGGGAACACTGCAAAAAAAATATGCATTGACCCATGTCACTTTAGTTTTGAGTATTTCACTGTACATAAATTATATTTCAATGAAATGCATTTTTTTAAAAAAAGCTTTTTTTAAAAAAAAAGCTTTACATTCAACAATTCTTATTGAATATTTACTATTTTTAGGTAGCAGGACAGAGATCCAACTTTCAAGGAGAAAGTAGTACATAGAATCTACCCCACCCCGCTCCCATTTCTCTAAGCACTAAAATTCCCACTTCCAAAGGAACCAATTTTAGGGTAGCAATCATGGCAAAAATCACTTTTATTACTTCCTAATTTGGAAACAGCTCTGGTGGTGCAGTGGTGAAAACATTCAGCTGCTAAGCAAAAGATTGATGGTTCAAACCCACCAGCCACTCTGTGGGAGAAAGATGAGGCAGTCTGCTTCTGTAAAGATTTATAGCCTTGGAAAACCTATGGGGCAGGTCTACTCTGTCCTACAGGGTCACTATGAGTTAGAATAGACTCCTTGACAGTGGATTGGGGTTTTATTGGGTTAATTTGATCACAATGCTCAGTGCACAGGTACCAAAGTATGTTTGTCCAGGAGTTTGTGGCTATGGATCCTGATAAAGAACCTTCTTAAATGTATCTTCTGTCCACACCTTGCCACAAAAGAACCAATATTGGGATGCAGATGGTTAGCATGCCATTGTATAATATGGTTGCGACAGCAGAGCACTGTGGAAACATCCCCAGAGAAGTCACTTGGAAGGAATGGGTTTAGGAGAAATATTCTTCATGGTCTTGAGCCCTCATAATGGCTACTGTATTCACTAGCAGATTTTGAGGATCTACTGTATGCCAGATACCAGACTAGGTGCTGGCCGTACAAACATGAGCAATTCACAGATCTCTACCTAAAGACAGAGTCCCTGGGTGGCACGAACAGTTAACCACTAGGCTGCTAACTGAAAGCGAACCCACCCTGAAGCACCTTGGAAGAAAGGCCTGGCAACCTGCTTCCAAAAGATCACAGCCATGAAAACCCTATGGAGTGCAGTTCTACTCTGAAACACATAGGATCACCATGAGTCAGAATCTACTCAGTGGCAACTGGTTTGGATTTTTGTTGTTGTTATTTTGTTTTGACCTAAAAACTTTCACAGTAGTGTCTTAGATTTAAACTGAATTTAAGTGCATCTTAGTAGAGGTTCTGGATATCACTAAAGAATCTTTCACTGCCATTATCTCTTCTCAGGGCTCTAAAATTTAGTGGCATCTGCGAGTCACTGATGTATGGACTCCCGTTCATCCTCAAACCCACAAGCTGTTGGCAGCTGGACTGGGATGAGCTGGAGACAAATCAGCAGCATTTTCATGCTTTGTGTCACAGCTTGCTGGTGAGTACTAATGTTCCCAGGTGAGGAAAAGGAAGAATGTGGAAGTTCCAAACACAGAAAAGCAGCTAACTTAATCCTACCCTAATCCCAAACTCGTCTCAATCCTCAAGAGGAGAGGAGAGGGAAAAAAACCTGCAAATATTCTGAAATTTGAAGCAAATCTGACTTGTCTTTGTTGATTTCATGCTATAGAGAATAGTTCCTGAACACTAAATTTGCAAATCCCTGATTTTGTAGGCTGAACATTTAAATGGCAAAGGAGAATTATCCATATAACTAACTTTATTTTAAACTTTCTTCCTAATACTGTGCTAGACATTATTGTTTATTTAAATGAAGAGCCCCTGGTCTGTGCTAGACATTGTGTTAGGCCCTAGATATTCAGTGGTAACATAATAGGCATTATCTATGGCCTCAAGAAATGTACTGTCTAATGGAAGACACAGAATTAAACACACAAACAAATATATGTAAATGTATATATGTGTAGATATGTGTATATGTGTATATATGTAGATATGTGTGTATGTTTATATTGTTGTTGTTGTTGTTATGTGCCGTCGAGTCGGCCTCGACTCATAGCGACCCCTCCTTGGGTTTCCGAGGCAGTATCACTACAGAAGTAGGATTGCCCAACCTTCCTTCTGAGGAGTGGCTGGTGGGTTTGAACCACCAGCCTTCTGGTTAGCAGTCAAGTGTCTTAGTCATCTATAGTGTTGTAGAAATAGATAGATAGATATAAACATATATATGTTTATATATATATATATGGACCTCTGGTGGCATAGTGCCTAAGGCATTTGACTACTAACCAGAAGGTTGGCAGTTCAAATCCACCAGCCACTCCATAGAAGGAAGACTGAGCAATCTACTTCTGTAAAGATTTCCTGCCTCTCAGAAACCCAATGGGGGTCTCTATGAGTCAGAATAGACTTGATGGCAGTGAGTTTGGTTTTTGTGTTTATATATATAACTTATTTTATATGTGTGTATGTGTGTGTATTCCTGGGTGGTACAAAGAGTTAATGCACCCAGCTGCTAATGGAAAGGTTGAAGGTTCATCTACTCAGAGGCACCTTGGGAGAAAGGCCTGGTGATCTATTCCTGAAAAACTTAGCTACTGAAAACCCTATGAAGTACTGTTCCACTGTGATACCTGGGGCTGCCATGAATCAGAATCAACTCAAGGGCAACTGATATGTGTGTGTATGTTCTTAGTTGTGATGATTTCCAGAAAGAAAAGAAGAGACTGCTATAAGAGAATCTCTCAGTGGAAGTGACATTTAAACTAAAACCTGCAAGATGAATAGGAATTAGCAAGGTGGAAGGTGGCAGGAAGTGCATTCCAGGTGCAGGAAAAGGCATGTGCAAAGACCCCAAGGCTGGAAAGAGCTAAGAGAAGAACCAAGAACAAAACGGCCATTGTGACTGAAATACAGAGAGCAAGGCGGTGAGAGGGGAAGATGGGGTTGGAGAAATGAGCAGGGGTTGAATCACATGAAGCTGTGTAGGCCAAATTAAAGACTTTGGACTTTACTTCAAGTCCATGAAACATAAATCATTTTAAATGAGGAAAAATAATATCATCTATTTAAGTGTTTTTTGGGTTTTTTTGTTTTGTTTTGTTTTGTGTTTTGGCTCATTTAAGTTTTTAAAAGAATACTTGCATTGAAATTTGGAAATGAATTTGCAGAAGCAATAATGGAAACACAAAAATGAGGTAGGAGGGCATGGCAGTAGTCAAGGCAAGCAATATGGTAGCTTGAGCTAGACACTGGAAGTCAAGATAAGCAAAGTAAATCAATTACAGAAATATTTTAGAGATAGAATCATTAGAACTTGAGAAAGGAATGGATATAGGCAGTGAGGAAGAGGAAAGCATCAAATAGTTGCTTGGTTTTGATTTGACCAACCAGGTGGATGCTATTTCCATAAATGGAAAAAACAAAAGAGCATACACATGAAACAGTAATACAACAATAGCAAATACCATTCGAGGACATGCAAAACTGCTACATGGATGTAGAATAAAGGATGTGGGTGATCAGGACAGCAGACCAGTGTGTCTCTTTCACTACCAGAAGCAGACTTCTTTTTTTCCTGTTTCAAAGCCCACACTCCCTTTTGGGTCCACCCACTGAGTTCCTGTTTCCTATCTAAAGAACACCCATCTCCTATCTTTGCAGAGCAGAAACAACAGATGCATTCTGACTATTAATGTCCAATAGCTCAGTTGACTCTTTACTCCACCCAATTCTTCAGGATCTAGGAGATGACACATCACTCAGGAGGAATTTCCACTAAGTGTCTTCAATACATTCTTACAGTACGTGGTATTTTAAATATGTACTGGCATTCTAATACACTGCTACAAGGAATGTAAATTTTCTGGAAGTAATAACTTTCAGCACTTTAAGTCCATTGTTGGGAACATAGTCCAAGAAAGCAATCAGAAAAGGGAACAAAGATATATGCACTAACATGTTTGGCTCAGAGTTATTTACAGTAGTAATAAATAAATAAATAAAAACAACCTAAATGTCCGGAATAGAGGCATAGTTAAATCTAAATAGAGGGAAAGTTATAGGGGCTATAATTTAGCCAAACAACAAGGCACTATATAGCCTTTAAAAATAAGAATGGGAAAGAATATTCCCTTCTATCCTCATTTATATACGCAAGATCAGAATCTCTCTGCCTCTGAAATTAGAGCTTGAGAATCTGTATTTATTTATTCAACAAATATTCACTGAGAACTATATTCCAGGCACTGTTCTCAGAGCCATAGAGACTTCTTCTTTATCACTCCTGTTATGGATTGAATGGTGTCCCAAAAAAATATGGGTTGACTCGGCTAGGTCATGATTCTCAGTATTATGTAATTATCCTCCACTTTATGATCTAATGTAATTATCCTGTGACTTGTAAATCCTAACCTCTATGATGCTATTGAAGCAGGATTAGTGGCAGTTATGTCAACAAGGGAGGATAAAATCTATGGCATTAGGTTGTTCCTTGAGTCAATCTCTTTTGAGATATGAAAGAGATTAAACAAGGGAGCAGAGATGAGAGGACCTCATTACCACCAAGAAAGAAGAGCCAAGAATGAAGCAGGTCCTTTGGATCTGGGATCCCTGTGCTGAGAAGCTCCTAGAACCAAGGGAAGATCAAAACACCTGGAAATCTCCAAGGAACAGTGGAGTCAAAAACCTTCCTGCAGAGCTGATAAAGCCTTCCCATGGAGCTGGCACCCTGAATTCCAACTTCTATTTTCCTAAACTGTGAGAGAAAAAAAATTCTGTCTGTTAAAGCCATCTACTTGCGGTATTTCTGTTTTAGCAGTACTAGATAACTAAGACAACTTCTCATGGAAACTCTTGCAAGTATGTGGTTGACCCACCACTGATATCCTTTTTTTGGAGCACTTACTAAGTGCTAGTCACTTAACCAAGTGCTTTTCAAACTTTCTCTCATTTAATCCTAACAATAACTGTGTGAGAGAGGGATTTTGTCCCTATTTTTACAGATGAGGAAGCCTGAGGCCTAAAGAGGTCAAGTGACTTACCAAAAGTCACACAGCTATTGGAAGCTGTGAGTCAGAATTTGAACCTAGTTCTGTTGACTTGAAAGTTCATATTTTTAACTTCTTTGCAAAAGCCTATACTCTAGATGTGATCAGATAAATATAGACTACAGTACTGAAGCTAATTATTCTTTCACCTAGACCCTATGCTTCTGTACTTCATTGTACTTCAATTCACTTAAAGTTTATTAGGTACTCTAAACAGCTCCTCACCTATCTGGTGTTACTGCTCTCCGCTGTGTTTCACTCAGATCAAAGACCACTCTCCTTTTCTGGAAAAGAGAGAAGCAAAGTCTGAATGGCCCTTTTTTCTTGCTTTTCATATGACATCTTCTCCAAGCAGCAAAAATCCTCAAAGGCAGTGTGTTATAGTGGGATACATTTTTCACAAGCATCTGCTCATTCATTCAACAGTAAAACTTTTGCATACCTTCTACATGACAAGATTTACTTTTAATTTTAACCTTCCTGACCCTCATTTCACAAGTTCATAGCAGTTCTGTAACATAACCTTGGTTTTGTGTTCTTCCCTACACATTTTTAATGTGCTCTTTTAAAATCTGATATCTAGTCAGTTCTTTGTGGAACTCCCTTGCCTTCTGTTTCTCGCAGTGATGTTTCCCCTCAAGTCAACTTCTCATTCTAACTTCTGTCTTTCTGTTAATAGCACTACCACCACGGTCGATTCACCCATGCTTGAAACCTCAGTTACTTTCAGCTATCTCACCCTTTACACCTACTTCATTACCAGGTCACATCAATTTTCCTCTCATAACATGAGCTGTAACTGCCCTTTCCTTCCCATTCCCACTGCTATTTCTTACCAAGATTTAATCAGTAAACTCCAAACCTTCTTCCCTACCTCCAATCTCTTCCTTTTCTAATTTGCCCTGTACACTGGCAGCAGATTCATCTTCTTGAAGTATTCTCCTGATTATCATGTTTTTCTGTGGGGCCAATACCCAATCACATAGTACACATTGCCTGTTCTGTTCCCCAGCATCCACTGTGTTTATCTGCTCTCTATTCTCATTGTCACTATCCTAGTGCAGGTCCTTTTTATCTCTTTCCTTTAGTATTGCAATCATCTCAACTTGTCTCAATGCCTTTAGTATTTCCCTTTCCAAATTCATTTTACATGCTGCCACCAGATTAATCATCTTCAAACACACACAGATCCTGCCATTTCTCAGCTTAAAAATACTTTGTGGCTTTCTATTGCTTATACACTAAAATCCCTAGCCTAGTATTCAAGGTCTAGTCTAGTGTCCCATTATTCCCCCTTCACGCATTTTATACACGAATCAGATTAAGACACAAAGCTTAAATTTTCCCACCTTTGAAGCTTTGCTTATATTTTCCGCTTTCTCATCTCCTTGTGTTCAAATCCTACCCCATTCTGAAAGACCCACCTCAG